CAGAGGGCACCAGCCTCCCCTCTGCCTCTGCTGCTTTCTCGTGCTCCTCAGCCATCCGTCTCCACTAACTCTCTGACCTCTGCTGGACCTTGCTCTCCGGCACTTGGTGGGAAGCTGCCAGGGCTGTGGGGAGGGCCTGGGACTCAGCTCAGGGATGGGCACGTGGGAAAGTGGGTGCTGCTCCCAGGTGCCCACTTCTCAGAGCTCCACGTCACCCGGGCACCGGGCGGGGCAGCATGACATGGGGGACAGAGCACGTTAGGCACAGGAAGAGGGCTGCCTGGGAGGAGCAATGCCCGTGCCTGATTGCCACCAGCCTAGTGTCCAGTCCCAGCTGGGAGGGTTCCAGCAGCACGGACAGTCCTCTGACTGTGTGTTCACTTGTGCCAGGACAGGCACTCACCGACCAGCAGACCGCACTCGGCCATTTGTCCCTCAGGAGCCTAACTGACAGGCCGCCCTCAGCAGGCACATTTAGGAAAGAACTCAGGAGGAGCCTGAGTTCATGGGCCCCCACCCTGCTTCCCCCTCCTGGGCACAGACTCTGTCCCCTGTAGCTCCCCTGCCTTAGGGAAAGCCGAGCATTTGGTTTAGGGCAGGACTGCACCGCGTGCGGCTGAGGCGTGCAGTGAGGGCTGGCATGTCACACATGGGGATTCCGGTCCTTGTCAGGGTTCTGGGCCAGAGCCTCAGAACGAAGCCAGTGGTGGGCTCTGTGGCCCAGGGCTCCGCAGCGGCTCTTTGAGTGCAGTCTTGTCCTCCAGGCCTTCAGTGCTCCCTGGAGGTGGGGAAATCTGAGGTGAGTGGGAACACGCGATGTGCAGGTGTAGTGTGCTGGGGGGAGGCACCCAGTGAGGACCATCCAGATCTCCCCTAGACTTTTGACGTGTGCTTTCTGCAGAATATGCCATCAGAAGGTGATGAACCACCCTCTCCAGCTCCTCCTTCTCCAGAAGTCATGACTCCCCCGGAAAACCTGGCATCATTTATGCCACCTATCCAACCTATCTACTTGGTTGTGCTCCTCGCAGCCGTGCTCACAGTCCTGTGTCTTTCCTGCTGCTTCTGGCTATGCTGTTGCAAAAAGGTAAGTGATACCTTGAACATAGTACCATTCCCCAGGCCCATGCCAACAACTTGAGGGATACAGCCCCTACCCCTGCCCCATGATCCTGCCTCTGGGCGGGCTCCCATAAACTCCCAGGCCATCAGATGAGTAAACAAAGGCACAGACTGTGTCTACCATTCCTGGGCAGAAACTCAGCCTGCATCTCAGGGACCCCCCTGCTTCATGCTTGTTTCCAGAGGCATCCTATGAGCTGCCCTGTCCTCTGGGGATAAGCCACCCCAGTACCCAGTGACAAGGGAGGCATCACAGCAGCCAGGCTTCTGGAGAACTCAGGGAGACCAAGCACCAGAAGAGGCCTCTGCTGCTGAGGGAAGAAAGTGGGTCCCAGGAGGCATTGGGGGCACTGAGGGACAATGCTGATGGTTGGGACGATTCCTAGACTCTGAGGCAGCTGAGCTTTGGAAACCAGATCTCTGCACACAGCCAGTGTGTCCTTCCTTCCTTTCTCAGTCATTACTAAGAGCCAGAACATGATGGGCCCCATACTTGGCACACAGGGACGAGAAAGGAGCTGCCACCATCTTGTACACAGGAGCTCACAGTCTCGTGTCTGCTCTGGTATTGGTACCTGGGGGTGGCGGGTAAAATGTCAGCCTCATAGGCTGTGGCATCAGGGCCCTAGCAAAGGAGAGACACTGGCCCCCAGGGAGGGAAAAGGGCAGACGTACTGGCTGCTGGGTTTGCAAGGCCCCGGGACAGAGCTGGGTGAAGGAAGAGGAAACCACAGAGGTGGGAAAAGACAGAGCAAAGCAGCAAGGCAGAAGCAGCCCGGATTGCTGTGGAGGGGGAGCTGTGAGGACAGAAAGTAGGAATGGGGGCTGTCAGCACAGAGTGGGGACTAGGGAAGGCTGCGGGCTGTGGAAGGTGAGGGGAGAGGAGGAAGGGAATTGGACGTGTTCTCTTGTCTTCATGTCATGGAAGGGCTCCTAATGAAAACTACTGCATGGACACCTCTGCCAGGGACCAGGCACCCTAGTCTGGCTGTCTCCCTGTCCACCGCCAGGGAGGTCCGATATCCCTTTGATAACCCAGGAGCCTGAGCCTTGGGATGCTGGAGCCGGTTGGCCACATCCCATAGACAGTGGGCTCGCAGACTGACACCCAAAGCCCACGTTCTGTCCCACTGCTGCTGAGTAGGGTCCCCTTCCATCTGCATGGCCGAGCCAGTGCCCTTCATGCTCCTCCAGCCAATGTTCATGTCTCTTTAACATTCTAGCCCTGCAAGGAGCCACCAGTGCAGAAGATAGTAATGGTAAGTCCTGATTTTTGTCCTCATGTCAGCGTGC